ACCAGCAAAGATTACAAAAGTAGCAACCGCCACCCATGCGTTTATGACCCTAACCTATTGGCCCTTGACTCAGTCTGCTAAACCGCCTTTTCGTGCCACGGCCGAAGCAGCTAGATTAGATTTATCTACCGTTCATTCTATTCAATTGCCCCCTAAAAAGCAGTCTATAGTCCCTACTGGGATAGGGGTACAATTTCCCAAAAATACCTTTGGTTTGTTAAAAAGACGCTCTAGACTAACAGCAAAAGGTATTGATATACTGGGAGGAGTCATTGATCCAGATTACCAAAAAAAAAAAAAATTTATATTATATAATAGTAGTGACACAGTACTAAGTGTAGAGTCTGGGGAACAAATGAGACAATTATTGGTGCTTCCCCTCTTCACTCCAAATGTGTCACAAGGACAACCTCCAAGTAAACTAACTAAAAAAAAAAGCAAAGATTTGGGTCTACAAATAGATAAAAACCTAGAGCAAAGGTGTAGGTAACCCACCCACCCACCCAATGCGGCTCCCCATGCGGCAAAAGTAGTGGCCCAAGGGCCCACTACAACACTCATAGTTATGTATACAAAAAATAAACAGTTATATCATGTTCCTAAAAATTCTGTTTCTTTGCGTGAATAGATACTCCTGCTGTGCTCGCTATGCTATGCTGCAACTCCATGTCTGCTGCAGACCTACACCCCAACTAATGTCTCCATAGGACAACCTTTAACCCTACACTGTTAGACCAACTGCTGTACAGTGGTGGGACCTATAACCTAGACTACAAATCGCCAAAAAATTTGATCTCAAAAACATCAAGCAACTTCTCAATATAAGATAATTTCTCTATTACCCTGCCTTCTGCTACCCTCCGTGATGGGGGCTGGTCTGAACTTCTACAAGCTAATTTGTTAGGCCTACATGTTATCTTATCTAATGTTATCTTTGATGCTGTACATGATTTGCAAAATCAAGCTAATATTTCATATTCTAAGAGATTATTTGGTTAGTTACCTTGGGGTTTGGGTCCTTTATTGTGAGATAGTTTTATAATTATTATAGTCATTAGATGTTAAGTTCTTAGATGTGCCTTATATACTTGTGTGCAAAGTTCATTGTCTGTACATATGGTGTCTTATAGTTAATAAAGACGGCCACGGCCAAAAATGTCTTGACATGAGTACAGCCATGTTTGGCCGCTCCATTGACCTACAGCCACCAGCACACAAAGAAATACAAAGCTGCTTTCTGTGTGGTGGGAACTGGCCTTTTCCCAGGAACTGGCCTTTCTCTCACGGAGACAGTTGCAAGTTGTAACATTTCAAGGCTCTTGGAGCGTCGTAGCACGAGATAGACTGGCCATCTGTGCCGGGCTGAGACGATAACCAAAGAGAACAATGCACGTACACAATTACCGGGCTGGGACGTTAGCCAGGGGGCTCCGTGCACGTACGCCACTGATAACCATTTGTGCATGGGAACACTAAATGCTTGCTCTGCAAACTCTGTAATTGCTTACTCTAAAAATTACTGCTGGTATAAAAACTGCTAAAAACTAAGACCTGGTAAAAGTTCCACCTATAAAAGAGCCGCCTTGCCCAGGACGTGTGATCCTTGCCCAGCCGCGTCAATTAACAAGACTCTCCCAACAGTAAAGCGTAGATATTGTGAGTAATTGATTTGATGTAAAGTAATTGATTTAATATAAAGTAATTAATTTAATATGTTCTCTTTTCAGTCAACCTAGTGTTTCTCTTTCTAGTTGATTTGTGTCATTTCTCTTCAGCCGATGTAAATGTTTTCCCTTTCCAGTGGAGCTGATGTTTGTTCCCTCTTAATATTGGACCTATTCAAATCTGTTTGCAGACTATCACCTTTACTATCCTCTATATAATAAAATATACCTTCAGTCCCTTTGTTTAGAGTAAAAAGTGTTTTTTACGTCTCTGATCGAATCCCCGAACCTCTCATAACAGGCGGTTGCTGTAAACTAATGTCGGCAAAGGATTTTCTGAGCTTGGAAGCGTCAGAAGAGTCAGAGGCAGAGCCTGGGACCCACATGGGGCAGCGGACTCTCTGGGGGCACCTGTTGCATCTGTCTTGGGCCATCCTGCTATTCTCTCAGTGTCTCCTAATGACCTGTGTCCTTATCGGGGTCCCCAGCAGACAGACAGGTGGCATTGGGCCTGTTCCCCTCCTCTATACCTCTCACAAAGGAGGCACTAAATAAATATTTGACTCCTTACCCAGTTGCGTAATTCACAGATAAAATTTCACAATTACAGCAATCAATGCCAGGAATGTATCTTAAGGAAAACTAGTGGATGGACAGAAGATTTATCTATAAAAATGTCCACCCCAGAGGCTGGCCTGGTGGCCTAGTGGTTAAGTTCAGCATGCTCCATTTCGGCAGCCTGGGTTTGGCTCCTGGGCACAGACCTACACCACCAGTCAGCAGCTATGCTGTGGCGGTGACCCACATACAAAATAGAGGAAGATTGGCACAGATGTTAGCTCAGGGAAAAAAGAAAGAAAAAATGTCTGTCCCAGAAGTTAGGAGGCACCTCAGAGCCCAGCCTCCATCCAGAGCAAGGAGCACCGTGCAGCTGGGAAAAAGCGTGTATACAGCGGTGTGTCCCCAGGGACCCTGAGGTGTGCACCCCAGGTGCTGTGGTGATGCCGAATTCTCACATTGGATTCCCTGGGGCTCCACGGGTCTAGGCAACTGCAGGATTGAGGATATTCACTGAAATGGAGCAGTAGCCATCTCAGGGTGGGATAGGGCTATCTATCTGAGATGCTCTGCATTTTTCCAAAGTTTCATTTAAAGGACTTTTTGTTTTTAGAAACAACAGTTGTTTTATTTCGGAATACTGTATAGTCTTGAAAAGTTAATGATATCACAGGAAGATGCTAGGTATGGTATTGAAAAGCAGGTTCAAAATTGACAACATAGTGCGATTAGTATAATTAATACATAACATCAACAAATTAATATAATTTATAAAAATCCTATGCACAGAAAATGAAGAACAGATATGTCAGAAGTTGTTCCTTTAGGCCATGAGACTCTGACTGTTTCCCTCTTCTATATTTTCTTAGTCCCTAATTTTCTTTAGTAAAAAATTGAGGGAGTGAGTATCGGGGGACAAGCACACAATAGGAAGCGAACGAGTTTGAGGCTGGAGAGGGGCTCTGGAAGCAGCAGGCCGGGGCTTTGGGGGACAGAGCAGGGGTCCAGGGGGGGAGGGGGCTGGGCCATGACAATGGCCAGAACCAGGGCAGGCTGTCTAATTTTGTTATGGAACCTGAAGTAGCTTCCTCCCTGTTTCCGCTTGTGGAAATTAATAAAGGAAACCTTAACTCAATTGGATCAGGAAGGCCTGCAGGGGGAGCTCTCACGCATTATCAATCTCACACATTATCAATCACACCAAACAGGAAGAGACAGAGGCTTGCATCTTCCACAGGAAGTACAACTATTTTAAGACTGAAGGAAGATTTCTCTCCCTACCTGGCATCAGCCCAGCCAATGAGAAACACTGCAGCTCAGCCAATGAGAAGCTGTTGCCGCCCTGAACTGTTACTTTCCCCCAAAGGACTTTCCTTTAGAACAGCCCCTCCCCTCCCCCTTTTCTCTATAAAAGCAGCTCCCATCCTTTGCTTCCTGGATTTGCCTGTGGTTTGCCATAGCATGCATGGCCTGAATTGCCATTCTTCTGGCTGTTCCTGAGTAAAGTCATTTTGAGGGTAAAATAACAGGAAAATTTGCTTTCAAGTTGACATCCTGGACTTCACTCTTTTCCCTGTGCTGACTTTGTTTTGTATCTTTGTATCCATAATAAATCATAGTGGTGAGTCCTCCTAGGAAATCAATGAACTTGGGAGTGGTCTTGGGGGCCCCTGCCACATGGCCCTTTACAGAAAAAGTCTGTTGAGCCCCAACCTACACAAACACGATTGTCACACCTAAGAAAATAAACAGTTATTCTGCACTATAATCTAACATCTAGTCTATATGCAAGCTTTCCCAGTTGTCTCCAAAATGACTTTATAGTTTTTTCTTTGAACCAGGATCCAATCAAGATTTGCACATTGCATTCCCCCTCTTTTACTTTTATTTTATTCACTCCTTCATTCGTGATGCTAACTTTGTGAAGAGACCTGGACAGTTGTCTTGTGGACTGTCCCAGATCTGGGTTCATTGTTATGCACGGGGGACGGCCTTCCCTTTCTCCTGACAGCCACGGTGCAGACCCAAAGGCTGGACGAGGGTCAGGCTAGACTGCCCCACAGATGCTGCTGCCGCTGCCCAGGTGAGGGTGCCTGCCAGCGGTGGCAAGCCATATGGAGTAGGGGCTGGTACTCGTGCAATACCCCATCCCCGACACCTTTCTATGGCCGTTGTGGAGTTTTCTGACGGCCTTTGCCTGAATCAACAATTCATTAGGGGGCAGCACAGGGTTTTCTCCTAGTATTCCTTCTGCCTGTGCTCACTGGCGTTCTTTTTTTCTTTTTTCTTTTTTCTTTTTTACTGAGGAAGGGTCGCCCTGAGCTAACATCTGTTGCCAATCTTCCTCTGTTTTGTATGTGAGTCGGGTCACAGCATGCCCACTGATAGACGAGTGGTGTAGGTCCACGCCCAGAAACCAAAGGTGGGCAGCGGAAGCGGGGTTCGTGGACCTTAACCACTAGGCCACCGGGGCTGGCCCACTCGCTGACATTCTTTGCTAAAGAAAAGCCTTTTCTCATCAACCGGGTGGACTACAGCCCCCCGCCAAAAGTCAGGCACACGCTTAACGATCTCCCTTTAATTGCAAGTGTCAGGAGCGGACTTCCACCCAGAGGAGGGCCAGGCAACGGCGCTGTCATTGCTCCGCCTGGCCACTACGCGGCGGTGGTGTGAGGCTCGGGCGAGGTCGGCGCTGGCCTGTGACGTCACTCCTCGCGCCCGGGGAGACCGGCGTGGTCGTGTGACGTCACGCGCCCGGGGGAGGGCGGCGCGATCTTGTGTCGTCACTCCGCGCGTCCAGGCGAAGCGGCGCTGTCGCGGGTGTTTGGGGGTCTGCGCGGTGGTGGCCATGGGTCCGCGCGTGCAGCTCCCGCCCGAGATCCAGCTGGCGCAGCGCCTGGCGGGGAACGAGCAGGTGACGCGGGACCGGGCGGTGAGGAGGCTCCGGAAATACATCGTCGCCAGGACTCAGCGGCCCACAGGTTGGCGCGGGGCTGCGGGGTGTGCGGGGGG